ATGGTATGTTATTTAGATAAATAACACCCCAGTGGAGTGTGTTTCTTGCAAATAAATATCTAAAAATCATACTAGTCATTTACTAAATTAGTTATCAATGTATCATAGTGTAAGTATCCACTTAACTAACCTAAAAAACCATAGAAAATAGCAAACCTTGGCAAAGGCGATAGTGAACCAGCCGATTATGAAGAGAGTGTTTGTGATCCACATTGTCTGGTTCAAATAGAATCACATAAAAAGATCATTATTTTCATAATTAAATGATTAAATTTGTAACGTGAAAACTAATGTTTCTCAAGCGAAAACTTACGTAGATACGACCAACCAAATCTGTTAATTTCCCACAAATTATTGCTCTAAGGATTAGTCCCATCGTTAATATCGATCCAAAAAGTGAATACTGAGAAGAGCAAGAAAACAAGAACAATTAAAATTGGGCTAATCCAAAATTAGGATTAGAAATTAGAATGATAAAATTAGGATTGAAAATTAGATATTTAGGTTTGGAATTTAGAATTAAGATTGGAAATTAGATATTTAGGTATGAAATTTAGAATTAAGATTGGAAATTAGAACTTGATAAAATTTAGTATATAAATAATTTTATCATGATTATAATTAATATTATGGTTTAAAAATATTAATTTCTTTCATTTTAAATGTAACTTTTTAGAAAATTTTAATTTCAGTTTAAATTTCCGATTTAGTTTTTAATTATGATTCTAGATTTTTATTTAGAATTATAAGGTGAATTTATTAATTTTTTTTTAAATAATTTGAATTAATTTGATGTTCGGGTTTAAATTGGCCAATGTTAAAAAATCAGATCTAAAAAGGCCCGATGGCAATAGTTCCGGTCCAAAAAAGTCGTTCCTTTTGTCTACGTGTCGTCCATGCCACTGTTCCGTTGACATTGACTAACGGTTACTTGGTCAAAGTCTAAATCAACAATAAAATCGTATGTTTGGGTATCGAATTTGAATTAATTTGANGTTCGGGTTTAAATTGGCCAATGTTAAAAGATGATGTCCAAAAAGGCCCGATGGCAATAGTTTTGGTCCGAAAATGTCGTTTTCCCGTTATGAAGACGTATGTTCGGTTTTAGCTATGATATCTTTTATGAATAACCTTTTGCTCCATAAATTTTTGGAATCATAGACAAGATATACCATACCGTCTTAACAAAAATATGTTTTAAGAGTGATTTGCAACGGAAATGAAACTCGACAGGCATCATCCTATAGTACTTCAAAGCGAAGCCAAATATGCGAGAGAGAAAAAATAGAGGCAAGTTAAAATCCATAGTCTTTGGGAGTATAAGGGTACTTGATATGGAAAAAAGAGGATTAAGGGGTTTTTTAGACAGTTCAGCCATGAGTAGGAATTGAGGACTTACATTTTTTTTTTCCATTATTAGTTAGATACAAGTGAAAAAAAATCAAAAGCCTTTCAATTA